CAGAATTATCGCAGACAATGGACAGAGCAGTGCCAGAAGATCTCTCACATTTGTCAGGACAGGCTTAAATTTCTGCTTGCATTGTTGTTAGTTTAGGAATACATGCAATAAGGATGACAGAGCCAAACAAAATTTGTTCTATGAAGACTGGGATATGCATGACAGCAAAGCTGTTAAAATCCATGTAGCAAAATTAGGAGCTTGGCAAAAAGTAAAATAAACCTGGCTGATGACAGCAGGATTTTTAGGACTAAAGCCTACTCAAACATCTATTTTTCCTGCATATTAATTCTCTATTGATGTCTTTCCTAATCAAAAACTCAATTCACAGTAAGAATAGGCTGAGTCACTTTTAAAAAGATGTGGTCTACAAATACCAGAACCATTGCCTAAACAGTAACTATTACAATGTTTATCTCTCCCACAGAACTTGAAAATGCCTGTAAAGAGAAGTGTCACATAAATCCTTAAGGCTTTGCCATGGATAGTACGTCATTCCTAGAGCCTTTTCTCTCTCTCTTTTTTATTTTATTTTATTTTTTTAAGTTTAATATCCTCCAGAAAATTTGTTTCTGTAGGTAAATATCTTTTCCTTTTGCAAGCAGAAATTTTTGGCACCAGTAGATGCGGCAAAAATATTCGGAACATTTTATTGTGTGATCTACATATAAGCACTCATTGTAAAATATTTATGGCATATAAATGCATAAGTAAGAAAGCAATACTTTGTCTACTCATTAATTTAATATGACAACAATGTTGGTGGTAAGGAAATGGGATCCATTAGTGGTCTCACGGCTTCATTTCTGTGCCACCCTGTTATTTCCTGTGATGATTCTTTCATAGGGAGAAATTTTGAACCTAACTGAGAGAGTGTTTATTCATGAATCTATTCACTACTCTGTCTCAAAATGTCATATACCCACTGCTGAAGGTTTGATGATGCTTTGGTTTTGATTCAGGTATACTCAAAAATAGTTCCAACAATATGAATCAACAGAGCAGTTAATATATTTGAAAGAGGTTATGCAGCTATATGCCCACTGAAATGGATCTGTTATCCATAGAAACTTAGTAACTGCCATTCTTTTTCATTGAAATGAAAAGCTTAGCAGATTTTCTCATATCTGCAACAATATCTTTCATAATTCTCCAAAAAATTCATAATAATTCTTCAGTTGCATTTTGATGACTCAGACAATTCTATGTATGCTGTTTAAATCATAACTTCTAGGCTAGCAAGAAATTTACAGCTCAAAATACATTTTTCTTGTACAATAAAAGCTTGTTATACAGAAACTCTTCCTCACTCAGAGTGAGGAAAGAAATAAAGAAGAAATAAATTTCAGGTCCAAGAAATAACCAGCAATAATATCCATCTAAATTTATCTGTAAATATATTTCTGGTCTATTCAAACAAGAACCTACAAATAAAAGCTATTTCCATGACCAGGATATGCTACAACAGCTCTTCTGTGCTGAACCTTGTGCCTTTGTTTGTTCCAGAACTGGAGAGAAAGAGCCAGACTCTTTCCTGCAGCTCTCTTTCCACAGGGATTATTTAAGCCTGCTTTCAGCATTGCCTGGTCTTTCTTAGCCAGCTTTGATGATCAAGCAAGGTTAGTTGCCCTGTAGGCCTGTCCTAAAAAGGTCAACTGACGTCAGTCCACAAAAGCTAGGGATTAAAAAAAGTAAGGAGTGGACTTTAAAATGTGTGCAGTTAACATCTTTCATGACAAAATATTCCAGTGATTTAAACTGGTCAATAGTTTAAAAATGGTAAAAAATGCCTTTGGCAACATGAATGCAAGTTTGTCATAGAGACTGAAATGTCTGCACCTCTACTAACGTGCCAGCAAAAGAATAGGAAAGAAATCTGGTTTAATTTATATACAGCAGCTATTTTTTCCTATTTGCAGTATTAATACAAAATGATAGATTTTTTTTTTCTTTGTAAGAACTTCTAAGATTGTCTTTAAATTATTCTAAAGACAAGTATGTGAATTTATAGCTGCTGTCAAATTTTTATTTTTAGCCTTAACCTACTTGATGAAAAGGTCACCAAATACTACTACCAAGGCTTCTAATTAATTAAGTAGTCTGGTCACCATATATCTATTAATGAAGCAAATCTCTTACCTGCATTAAATCCAAATATGGACTGTTCACATTGTCAAGGCAGTAAGACAGTTCTCAAAATAACTTAGTGAAAATGCTCAGTCCTGAGCGCATCATGACAGCACTGCTATTTGTGGGCAACCACTTGTCCATCTGACAGGAGTGGCTCTGTGATCTCTCTGGGATCTACCCTTCCCCTTCTCCAAGGGGATGGAGGCACTGCCTTCATTCAGTCTGTCTCTTACTCTGGCACAGCAGTTTTCTTCCTCCTCCTTTGGCAGCCTGCTGTGCCTAAGCAGCACAGCATGCAGCCCCTGGGAGTGCTCCCAGAGTGTCACCACTGACCTCAGAGGAGCCAATCTTTTGCCAAAATACTCCATCTAACTACAGAAGCACAGCACACAGGGGTTAATGCGGCTGATGGTGAGTGGTATCCCAAAAAAGGACTTGCAGGAATGTTGTTTCCTCTCGTGAATCAGCAGAAGCAGAGGCATAATGGCCTTGCCTTTCAGTTGCTGTACATTAATCTCTGCAGAGCAATGCCTGTCATCGCTCAGATGTCAGATGCTGTTTATAACTCTGCTGGAAACACAGCATAGAATAAAACAGGCTCATTAGTTTCTCTTGAGACTGTATATGCATGGTTTAGGTTAGCTATGCTTTCACTGCTGCACTCAGCTGAAACATTGCAGCAGCAGCATTGGTGGCTCGGACAGTTGTTTAGTCTGTGAATCTGTCCAATATCTCCAATGTGAATCCCTCAATACATGACCAAAAGCCCATGATGTGTTCAGGTGCAGAGATTTCCACAGCACAGGTATGACAAGACCCAGAAGTACCCCCTTGGCTTGGCTTGAACCTGCTGCTTTTAATGGCACCCTGTACCAGCACTGCAGGACAGAGAGAAGCAGTGAATCTGTTCAGCATCTCTGTGCCAGCTGTGATTTGGCAGGAGTTCAAAGCCTTTCCTGCTATTTACACTGAGGACTTCTACTCCTTACTGTCATCCTTTATATGAAGCTATCCATAATTTGAATCCTTCTTTCTGCTTTTCCCAGTGCCACATCATTTCAAGGTGGGAAACAAGAGTCATGGCCAATGTTCAACGGTGTCAGATGCAGTATGGATTTATACAGGGGCACAGCAATGTTTCATGTTTTGTTCTCCTTCCTAACCATTCCTTACATTTAATTTGGACACTACTGGGCACTGAACTTGTTTTCATACAGCTGTCAATTGTGTATTCATTGCTCCAAAGTCATCCTGGTCATCAGGTTGCCAACTGTGAAATTGAAAGGGAGAAAACATTATTTTCTTCCAACTTAGGTTTTTCAATAAGTAGCTCATTTAAATGTGAGGACAGTTTTAGCTTTACTTTTCAATCCTGTACTCTTTTATGCTTTACTTTTCAGTCCTGTACTCTTTTATATTGTGACATCTCAATGTAATATATTGATTGCTGCTCGTCATTCGCTTTTTCGCTCTGCAATTAAATTCATAATATATGCAAAATACTTCCTTTCTGGTGTGATGCCTTTGTTATCTGAAAAGGAGCTATGTGATTTTGCCTTGTTGATTTTGCCTTTCTCACCTTCTGAATCGACACATACACCCTCGGTTCAAACACTTGGATGAGGAATACGCTGGGTGCTCTTTAGCATCAGCGCACTGAGGTGAAATCACAAACACACCTCCAACCCTCTGGCTCTAGCCCTGCCTGTAGCGGTCTCGTCCTGAGCCTAAAGGGCAAGAAGGAGCATCCCGAAGGAAGTGAATGACTTCCTCCCACGGTAAGCATTTCCCCGCTCTGGAGATGATTCCTGCCTCCGGCATCCTCTTGCGCGGCTGCCCTGGGAATACAGAGCCCTTGTGCAGCCTGGGCCAGCAGGAACTCCGTGTCCTGCCCCGCTGCCTGCTGCTGACCCCAACCCCTTCCCTTCGGAATAAATGTTTAATAGCTGGACATCTGCTGAGTTCGGGTTTGGCTACATCTCGTTCTATCCGTCTAATAAAGGGCGACAGATTACTCGGGAAAATACTTCAGTTGTTATTTAATAAACCTACAGCAGTTCATACAGCTTCCAAAAGTTCTTCATTTACGCAGCTAATCACCAATATTCTCCGCGAAGCTTTTACAATCCTGCCGTTTTATCGCTAAAATCCTGGCTGCCGGCTTTCCTCGCCGCACAAACGGAGAACAATGGGGAACCTTGGCGTGGCTTAGCCCTGTATCAAAACTAACGCGGCTTTGCCGAGAGGAGAGGAAATGTCTGCGTGCGGCCCTGTGCCCGTGGGCGGGGTGAATGGAGCTGTGAATTAGTTTGTGCGAGCTGCGGGGAGTGCCGTGCACGGAGCTGTGGGGAGTCCCTCGCGCCGTAGGGAGTTTTTGGGGAGCGGCGCTGGAGCCGAGGCTGAGGGAGCGCTCGCTGCCAGCTCCGCCAGGCCTGAAAGCTCCGCAGCTCGCCTAATAAAGTGCTTATACATCCTGTTCCCACGCAAAAACGGCGAGCAAAGGAAGTCGTTTCCGAACCAAATGAACTTCTTTATTCATCAGAAAGCCTAAAAATAACAAAACAAATTAGGTAACTTAACCCGGCGTTCCGCCAGCCGCCTGCCCGCCTCAGAGGCAGAGCGCAGGCGCGGCCCATCGATGACTCGGGGCGCGACTGGCGCCGCCTGCCCGCTCGCATCCCGGAGCGCTCGCTGCCCCGCGCCGCCCGGAGCCGCCGCCGCCGCCGGCCCGCAGGACCATGGTGAGGGGGCCGGGGCGGGCCGGGGCTCTCGGCCCGGGACAGGGGACCCCCGCCGCCTGCTCGGCCTGCCCAGCCGGCGCGGGAGAGCCGGGAGAGCGGGCGGCGGGGAGCGGGCCCGTGAGTAAGCAGTTCCCGGGCCACGCGGGGCCGCGGGCGGGACTGGGCCTGGCTGCCGGCGTGAGAGCGAACGGGAGCGGGGAGCGGGCCCTGCTTCCGTGCTGGGACAAAGCGTTCCGAGGCCCTGTGGGGATGCGTGTGGATATCTCCGCAGGGGTCTGGAGCATCTCTGTTGTGAGGAGGCTGCGGGAGCTGGGCCTGTTGGGTCTGGGAGAGAAGGATGAGAGGCATCTCATTGATGCGTACAAATATCTCAAAGGCAGGCTAAGAGCATGGTGGCAGACCCTTTCCAGTGGTGCCCTGGCACAGGATGAGGAGCAGTGGCCATAAACTGAAACAAAAGAAGTTGCACCTCAACATAAGGGAAAACTTTTTTGCCCTGAGGTTGGCAGAGCACTGCCCAGGGAGATCACGGAGTCTCCCTCTCTGGAGACATTCAGTCCCACCTGGATGTGCTCCTGTGTCACTGCTCTGCGACCCTGCCTTGGCAGGGGGCTTGGACTGGATGATTTCCAGAGATCCCTGACAAAAGGAATTTAACAGAGTAAGAACCCATTCACAGAAAGGGTGGTTATTGGAATGGGCTGCCCAGGGAGGTGGTGGAGTCACCATCCCTGGAGGTGTTTAGGGATGTGGCACTCAGTGCCATGGTCTAGTTAACAGGGTGGTGTTCAGTCACACATTGGACTTGATGTATCAGAAATCTTTCCAACCTTATTGATTCTAGGATTCTGTAGTGCTGGGATTCTGTGGGAACAACCAAGGTTTCCTCCAGGAGCACTGTGTTAGCTTATTAGGGATACTAATGAGTTTTATTTTGTTCATTCCAGTTTCGCAACCAGTATGACAATGATGTCACGGTTTGGAGCCCGCAGGTAAAACCTTTATACACTTGCTCACTGGGGTTTTAACTTGCTATTTGGATTTTCTCCACCTCACAGCAGTGGTATTACAGTCACAAAGGCTGTGCTCAGGTGCCTGAAGCTTCCTGCAGGCTGCTCCTCTCTCCCATTGTAGGCTGTAGGTGTCCAGAAAGCTCTCAGCACTCCCCTTGCTGCTGCTGTATGATCCTGAGTGCTGCTTACCTGGGCCTTGTCCCCTCCAGGTGCTTAAGGCAGTTGCTTTCTAAGTGTACCTGTGAGGTACAAAAGAGATGCTGTCATCTTTGGGTGGTTGGACTAGATGATCTTGTAAAGGTCCCTTCCAACCCCAACCATTCCACGACTCTATGATCCTTTCACAGAGCTGCAATAAGTTGGTAAGTAAGGTACACTAAGCATGAAACTCTTTCAATCTCCCCAAAGTTAGGCCATTGCCTAACTTCTCTTCTGTCCACTCGATAATATGGGAAAGAAACTCTTTAGTTTATAATTGGGCGGTTCAAGTGAGATTCGCATTTGAATTTGGAATGTTACTACTTCTGAATCAGTTTCACACTGTATATTGTTACTGATAACATACACTGTGTGTTCTGAAACTTACACAGCCTGTGTTGAAAGTAAATATTCTGGAATTTTAAAAGACACTCTCAGCTGAGGTGTTTAATATTGCCTCTTCTCTCATTGGGGCTGTTTTAAGACAGGATACGTACAGAAAACCAGAGCCTTGGAAAAAGACTCAATTTATATATTCAGCAAAACTAGAGATTTATTTAAAATGCAAGTAGCAAATTGTATTAGTATAAAGCTAGTGTATCATTAATTTGTGGGTTTGTATTGCTACTGAAATTCTTCATCATGTAGTACTGTTGCATGTGAGGTACAGTACAACAGTGTTCAGCCTTTCCATTCTCCATGAAGACAACCTTGAATATTTCCCCTTTTTTTCAGTCAATATCATGATAGGTGTAGGTGCCTTTGAAGGTGTAGGTGCCTTTGAGTTGTTTTAATCCTTCTTACTGATTGTGTTTCCCTGGCAGGTTCTGTATCACAAACTTTAAATTTTTTTGTCTTATCTGCTACTTTAAAAGTTACTTAAAAAACTACAACATTCTCTTGAGACTTTTAGCAGGTACTGCCAAATATCAACAGCACAAATTTCTATGTTTTTCTTAAATTACCTTGAAAATGCTAATAGTATTAGTTTTTTTCCTAAAAAAATTACGTTTAAAATTGCTACTGTGCTGCAATTGATACTCCGTGCATTCTTGCAGGTGAGGCAGTGATGTGATGCCATAATAGTTTTTGGCACTGTTTATACAGGAGCAAATCATACTTTATTGGGAGATGTTTTTAAATATGTTAGTAAAGAAAAGGAAATAGGAGATTTAAAAACTTGAAGTGGTTTCACATTTTTACAGTCTTGCATATTGTTCCTGACAGCTGAAAAATTCATGTTGGACAGGTCACAGCAATTCAGTGCTGCTCTTGGGCAGGAAATATCCTATGCTATTGAAATTCCAGTTACAACAGGGGGTGAAATTTGACATTAGGGTCTCTCTAGGAGACTTAAATAAAAAACCTTATGCCAAAAATCCCCAGCAGTCTATGGGAAGGTGGTATTCTGTAGATCATCCCTTGCACACTCACCATAACAGCTACTGTGTTCCACTCCCTGCCAGCTGATGGGATGCAGCTCCATGGTGTCCATGCTTGCAGGACTGGAGTGCCCGTCCTGGCTGTCTGACATGGGCTGGAGTGCTGAAAATGGGAAAACCCTCAGTGCTTCTGTTACATGGACATTAAAGCTCCTGGCCACCTCTGCAGAGCTTGTACAGACTTCATTTTCTTTGGGACCTCTACTCCTGTTTCAGACTTGGCTGCAGTTGGCCAATAACTTGTTCAGAAGTTATTGGGGAGTGGCTGGTGAGACACAGTAATTGCATAAGACCCATTTCTTCAGCAAAGCCGATTCAAGTGTCCAACTTCAGCTGGAAGTTCTGTCTGTCTTTGAATCACGTGCTGATTTAACCTGTCATGCAGTGGGCGTCCCCATTGGGGTGGGGAATCAAAGGTCTGAAAATGCAAAATTGGAAACTGATTCAGAGGATTAACTAGAGAGCGATTGACGACCTTCCACTTGGTTTTGCAGGGCCGAATTCATCAGATAGAATATGCCATGGAAGCAGTGAAACAAGGCTCAGCTACTGTGGGGCTGAAGTCGAAAACACATGCTGTCCTGGTGGCTCTCAAGGTAACTTCTGAGCTCTGCTCTCAGTGGGGACAGTAATGTTCATAGAAAGGTTTTGGTTTGGCAGATTAGTTTTGTTCAGTCTGTATTTAGACATGAAATGTAAATGCAATTGCAGGTTCCCTTTGCTTGTGGACTGAAATACTTCCAGTACCTATGCAAGGCAGATCTTCACAAAATGGTGAAGGAAATGCATAGAAGATTTTTTTTCCCTTTAACAGATGTGTTCCTCTTTTTTTGTTTTCTTTCTATTTGTTATTAAGCAGTAAATATATTCCTTTTTTTCCCTAAGACTTGAGTAAGTGTCTGTTCTTTCTTTTGTTCTGAGAGAACTGAAGTGGAATTAGGTTTTTCTTGTCTTCTGTTAGAAGTTTATAAATTTAATTTTTTTTTTATTGTTTCATGAACATATTCAGTTCTTGCTATAAATGTTAGCAGATTTCTCCACAGTGCTTGGCAGACTGTTCAGTTTGCTTCATAGCTTTCTCCTTTTATGCATAGAGAGCACAGTCTGAGCTGGCAGCTCATCAGAAAAAAATCCTGTACGTTGACAACCATATTGGTATCTCAATTGCTGGACTTACTGCCGATGCAAGACTCTTGTGGTGAGTATCCTGCTTGTTGACATACACAGTGCTGCAATAACGAGGGAAAGTTCATTCAGACTATTGCAAATGACATTTTCTGCTTTGCTAAGGATTAGTCTTGAGTTGCTGCTTAATGTTGTATTATGCCAAAGACCTCAGCTTGAAATTCTGGCAAGTTTTTAACTAGTTGGCAGAAATCTCATTTGTTTGGCCTAAAATTTTGCTCTTTGGTTTTGTTACAAGTAAAACAGTCCTGTCTGGTTTCCTCAGTGTGATAGGGTTTCCAAGCAGTCTGAGAAACTCCATCACTTCTTTTCCTCTGGCAGCTGCTTCTGTGTACACACATTTGAGAAAGTTATTAAAGACCTACAGTGCTGTTTGTGTGGGCTTCAGGTGGGACTTCCTTTTAGCAACTTTGATCAGAAAGGGTGGGAAGTGTTTCTGAAATAAGTTTAATTGCTGCAGTGTCACACAGCAATGTTACCGTTTAACCTTGCCATTTCTCCAGAGGATCCGTCTGTTGCCTGCGTGAACTTCTACTTTCTTTGCATTTGTATGGCTGAAATACCCAGTTTATACTTTGTCAAACCTGTGGTCAGCTTTCTCAATAACAATGATAGGTCATGTAGACATGAAATCATGGAAAGAAATGAAATCATTACCTTTGACCCTTTTTCTCATGAGCAGAGTTGAAACAAAAATGCTTACCTTAACAGACAAGCCTTGAGACAAAACTTCATTGTGTCTTTGATCTGATTTGAATTTTAATTTTTTCTTTTTTTATATTTTTGCTCCCTAGCAATTTCATGCGTCAAGAGTGTTTGGATTCTAGATTTGTGTTTGACAGACCTCTTCCAGTTTCTCGCCTAGTGTCACTAATTGGAAGCAGTATCCTTTTTTTATACACTTCATAAAAAGACTTTCATCTATCACAGCTTTAAAGTTGAAAAAGTTTTTTGGACAATTCTCTTTGTTCACACTGCTTGTGTATACTTTCAGAGAACATCCCATAAGGATGCATTTTGGTCCATCTCTGCTTGGTTTAGGAAAATTCTTGGGTAATTATCATATAATTTTGAGATTGTTTCCTTAGCTTTCTTAAGAAACCCAGATTCCAACTCAGCGCTACGGCAGGAGGCCCTATGGAGTAGGACTGCTCATCGCAGGCTATGATGTGAGTAAGCTTCTCTGGCTGCTACTGATCTGCAGGAAAATGTGCTCAGGGAAACTTTATGCAGCAAATAGATGTTGAGAGGGAAAGATGGAAGAGGCAGACTTGTCAAAATTCTCTGAATAATGAAATAATTTTCTGTATCTTACTCTAAAACAACTCAGAAATGTTAACTAATAGCTAATCTTACCTACGCTTACTGAGTATTTTAAGGTGCAAAGATGAGATTTGTTTATGTAAATATTTTTGCAATTGCAATTGGGTGCTTGCAAATTATTATTTTAAAAACTCCCAGTAAGAAAGTGGATGTGGAAATCACCGCTGGCCTCTCTCTCACTTGTTTAGCAACAGCATTTTGCTTAATGCAGCACACAGAGAATCTCTGTCCTCAAGATTGTTGACATGAGGATGGTTGGAGGAAATTTTGGATGGCATGGTTTAGTCTACAGCAAGTTTCTACTTTTTTGTAGATAAGGCAGAAAGTGTGTAAAATACCTGCTGCAAGCCATGAAGTAGGGAGCATACTTAAGCACAGTGCAATTTGTACAACAGAGAAAGAAACACTTTTTTGTGCCAGCCATCCTGTCCATTGAAAAGCTGCAGATGAGCAAAGTGGAAAAAAAGAGGTTTCTGTTTGTTTTTTTTTAAATTGTTGTTGTGGTTTTTTAAACAACAGGGTTGAAGGAATTGCATAAGAACAGTAATATGATCAGCAGTATAAAATATATATAAAATACAAATATATATAAAATTTCTGTGCACACATGTAGGTGTGATGTACCATGAAGTAAAATTCTTTTAGAAAATTTCGTGCTCTAGCAGCAGAGTTGGTGTGAATTTATATGTTTGTTTAATATTGTGTGGGGGCTTTCTTCTCTCTTTGTAGGATATGGGCCCTCACATCTTCCAGACTTGTCCCTCTGCAAACTATTTTGACTGCAAAGCAATGTCCATTGGTGCTCGTTCACAGTCAGCACGAACTTACTTGGAGAGGCACATGACTGAGTTCACTGAGTGTGAGTAATGGAACTCTCTCTGCCCACTGGTGTTCATCAGTTCTGCAGTTTATCTCCTGCTGCCACTCCATCCTTTTGCATTGAGTGAGCTGAAGATAAATATTGTGAGCCAAGTTTGGCATAACTGTAAATCTGCACAAAGATAAAATTTTAGAGAATGTGGCTGAGATTTTCATGCCTTAACGTGTGGGTGTTTATTTCATCTAATGGCAAGAAAAGCTGTGAAAAACATTCAGAGCCTCTATCCTTTTTAACCCAGGGAAAGTGTTTCCATAGCAGAGCAGGGTTAGTATGTCAGGGCAAGTATTTAGGCGCTGCATTTTAAGTGGTAAATTTATTTTTGTATGGGATAATGATGAGGAACCATTGAATACCTGCTTGGAGGAAAAAAACTTGAATCAAGGCAGTGGTCAAAAATGGATGCACTTGACCTCAAATATAAGGGAAGGCTGGTTTCTCAAGGAAAAAATTATAACCAGCTCTGCTCAGAAAGGAAAGGAGGTCTTGGAGTCAAAGTGACCCAAGCTGATTTTGGAGTTGTCAGCTGGGATTAGGAAGAAGGGGAATGAGTGTCTAGAGGTAATACCATATAGTTTGTCAATGTCTTTCTGATTCCATTTTAAGGTAATCTAAATGAGCTAGTTAAACACGGTCTGCGAGCCCTGAGAGAGACTCTGCCTGCTGAACAGGATCTGACCACCAAGGTAAGGACTGGGTTTCCTTTGCCATTGTTACTTGGAAGTAACTGTGACAAAATTCTTGTGAAGTATGGCTGGCACTGAAGCTTTGAAGCTGAATACTTGTAGATGGTATCTTTATTTCAAGTCACCAGTGTATCTACTGTTCTGTGTTCTTCTCAGATTTAAGTTTCTTCACAAAACCATGTTTTCACTAAATAAGACATTGTTTCCTTGGTGCCTTCACTCTCTCTTGAGCTTTGATCAGTGTTTAAGATGCATTACCTGCAGCTGTAGAATCCCAGCATTGCATTGTGAGCACAGTCAACAATTCATTTGACTGTGAAATCACAGTGAGTGAAGGTAATGCACCAACAGTTTACAGAGCATGCAGCATCACAAAGCTGCACAAACTTTTGACAATGAATTGAGGAACTTTGAAGAAGAAAATTCTAATTATATCCAATTATCTACCATTTTCCATGTTTTTTTATTCCTAGCTCACCATGTTTTTTAGAAGTCTTAAAATACTGAAAATCAAAATGAGATGAAAATAGGTGGTTTTGAGAAATTGTGTGTGTTATTAAATAGAAAACAAAATGAAAGAAATTGAAACCCTTGAATGGCTTAAAAGATTTTTAAATATGATAGCTTTTGTAAGTGAAAGCTGTAAAGCCAAAGTTCATTGCAGGAAAATGCTTCTCACTGCTTCCAACCCTTTGCTTGACAGAATGTTTCAATTGGAATTGTGGGCAAAGACATGGAGTTTACCATCTATGATGATGATGATGTAGCACCATTCCTAGAAGGTCTTGAGGAGAGACCACAGAGAAAGGTGAGTGGTTCAGATATGAATAAATAGGCTTAGTTGAATGACAGTAATTAGATATGATCTGCTATGTTTAACATAAATTTAACTCTACTACTGGGGCAGAGTTCTGGGAACGCAATTTTTAAAATATGTAATTACTATATGCACACTGCATAATCTTTACTGGTAACTCAGATACTTATTAAATCAATTAATGCTAGATTTATAAATGCCAGGCTGTTCCAATGCCATCTCCTTTCCTCATCTCTGCCCAAGTACGAGTTTTCACTGTCTTACAGCAGCAGTGTATGTTGCATGTGTTTTTCACGCCCTTTGCAAGACGCCTCCATAGTCTCCTAATTACCATCTGTGTCCTGCTTGTGCTTAATTTGGATAACAGTCATTTGTGAGCTGTTGGCTGACACGAGCTGCATTTACCACTTGTGGTGCTCCAATGGGGATAAAGCTGATTTGTCAAGTGTTGTCTTCTGCCTCCCTAAAATATTTCTTTTCCCTCTCTCTAAGCCGGTCCCACCTGTTGAAGAAACCGTGGAGAAGGCAGAGGAGCCGATGGAGCACTAGTTGGTGGATGAGTTCCTCTGTTAATGTATAATTATCCAGGAACATTTATCCATTTGCTGGTAACTTTATCCTCACCTATATATGTTTTCTGACGCTACATTCTGAGGATTGCTCATAAAGAAAGAAACCAAGCAACCTACCTACCCTTAAAAGACAGACAGGAGGACATACCTGGGTGTAACTGCTCAGACAAGAAAGGTGTAATCATTTTCTAAATAGTACATGATACTGTTTTATAAAGAAAAGATACTGTCTTTAACTCCTAAGGACAAGTGGAAATAAATCAATTTCTCGGACTCTGCTGTGAGTTGTTTTTTTTTTGGTCTGAAAAAGCAACTCTTCACAAATAGCAGTGTCATATCAAGGTACCATTGTGTGTTTGACCATTTGTTAGAGTGTTTGCTTAATGTGTAGAACTGAGAGGATCTTAAAATGCCTATGAAGCCATAAAATACTCATGGAGCAAACAGGGAACAGCACTTCCCTGGGTCAGCTTTTCCTAGCTGAAAAGGCATGTGTGGTTATGAGGCTGAAGCAGCATGAAGCTGACAACCAGTTGTGGTCAGGTTTTTGGGGGGGATTTACTCACCCCCAGCTCTTAGGATGTCAGTGTTTCTTTAGAGCCTTGGGCCAGAACAGGGCCTATAGCTCATTGAGGGCTGAATTGGAGTAACAAAAAACCACGAGAAGTTCCCATTAGAGGTCTCCTGAGCTGAGCTGTGGAGTCTGCATTGCTGCTGAACCAGCAGGTTCTGCAGGGCTTTGTCCCTTCAGCTTGTGTGCACCTGGTGCTCTTTGGGTTTAAGCTGAATGTCACAAAATTTGGGACTAACAGTGACTTCCTCAGAGTCACCTGCCAGGGAGGCCCAGGGAATTGGTGCTTCCTGGCTGGGATGCTGTGTTTGAAACAAGAATGAGGTCAGTCTTTTCTGTGTTGGATCATTCTAATATGATTATTCTCCTCAACCACTGCACCGAAAATTACAAGGAACAACCCTTGGGGGTGGACCTTCATAGGCCTTGGTAGCCTGGTCACTGAACTTAAAAAAATAAAAACCAGGCCTGGAACTTGCAGATTAATAATTTATTAATATTTATTAATTAAACAAAAATTACCAAATCATGGTGCTGTCTTGAACAGGCTTTAAATACAGTCTTGAATCCATACAAATAGTTCAGATATGAAAATAGCAAAAGAGTAGTGTCAGGGCTGCGTATTTGGTTTATAAGCACTAGAAAAATGCTGCTTTTTCCTAAATTTATTTTTATTTTGGTTTTTCCCTGTTATTTTTCTAGTTATTTTCTCCCTTATTTATTTCCCCCTTTACTCATTTTCCCCCCTCTTACTCATTTTCATTTTTCCCCTTAATTACTTTTTCACCGTTATTTATGTTTTCCTATTGTTTTTTTCCTTCTTTTCCTTCCCCTTGCTTCCACATCCCATTGTTTTTTCTCTCCCTTTGCTTCTCTCCCCATTGTTTTTTTCTCTCCCCTTGTTTACCCCCGCATTTTCCCTCCCTTTGCTTTTCCCTTATTTATATATGTACCCTCTCCTTTATTCATTTCCCGTAATCTATTTTCCAGTTCCTTACTAATTTCCCCCAGTTGCTTTTTTCCCCACCTATTTATTTGTTTTCGAGCGGGCGCCGCTTCTCCGCCGGGCGCCGCAAGGCCCGAGGCCTCGGGGCCCCGCCGGCGTCTTGCCGGTGGCCCCCGGCAGGCCCGGGGTGCGGGCGGCTGTGGGAGGGGTTGTGGCGCCGGGGGTCTCGGGCTGGGCGCAGGGGAATGGCAGGGGGCGCGGGCGTTGAGGGGAGTTTTGCATCGTAGCTTAAAATGCCCGGGTTTGGAGTGGAAGTAGGAACTGGGACGTGGAGGGAGAAACCGCCCCGAGCCGGCTGGAAATCCGCCGGGATTTATCCATCCATCCATCCATCCATCCATCCATCGCTGTTTTCCCGCATCCCGACGGTCCCGGATCCCAACGCGCGGGGCCGTGACGTCGCAGGCCCCGCCCCTCCCGCCATCGTAGCTTAAAATGCCCGGGTTTGGAGTGGAAGTAGGAACTGGGACGTGGAGGGAGAAACCGCCCCGAGCCGGCTGGAAATCCGCCGGGATTTCTCAGTGAACGTTTTGAACACTCTGTGTTATAGCTGCGCGTCACGGTGCATTGCCCAGGTTTTGGTCCATTAGTGCCCCCGTTCCCGAGGCTCCCCGGGCTTGTAGGTGCGAGCAGGCGTGGCTTTTGTCTTTGGGCTCTGTAAACTCTGCAACTTTCGGTTCCCCTGCGGGCCGAGGTCTGGCTGTGGGTGCTCCGTCCCTGGACGTGTTCCAGGCCAGGTTGGATGGGCTCTGAGCAGCCTGGTCTGGAGATAAGGGGTTGGAATGAATTCGTCTTCAAAGTCCCTTCCGACCCCAACCCTTCAGTGACTCGCCAACACTCACTACTGCTGCAGAGTTAAAGCAGCACCTCTGTCCGTGTCCCTGTGGGCTCTCGGTGTCTCTGATTTCAACTCTCTGTGCCTTGCAAGGAGGAAAACTGGGTGGTTGTTCTCCCTGCCACATCTCCCAGCTCTGTGTTTTAGGAGAGTTGTATTTCATTGCTGCTTTAGTTGTATTTCATTGCTGCTTTTCAGAGCCCAAAGTGCACTCATTTATCACACTTCAGAGATATGTTTGACCACGATTTTGGAAATCCTGCAGCTGAGGTCTTTGTATGAGTAGAGATACCTGCCCTGCTTTCACAAGGATCTGCTTTGTGGTCTGTGTGAGTTGTTCTTGTAGGTGAAGGTGCTGGCTGCAGGGCTTTGGGGCAGGAATTCTGGGTAGCAGCGTAGGAATTGTAAGCAAAAAGCTGCTGCTGAGGCAAGAAAAGAGTTGGGAAAGCCCTCTGAGATCATCAAATCCAACCTTTGACTGATCACCACCTTTGTCAACTGGAGCATGGTGCCACATCCAGTCATTTCACGAATGGGTGGTTAGTGTAGATATTTGTGAGCAACAAGGTTGAGGAATCTAGGCCTTAAAACACAGAATTCATAATGGGAACAGGAGTGTTTCCTTAAAAATTTGTATTGCAAATATTTTTTGGGGTGGTTGTTGTGGTGCTGATTGATGTGAGTTGTTTTCTTGTGTGGAGAAAGAGACAGCAGCCCAGCTCAGCACAACTTCCCTGCTCCCTGTTCAGGGTGAGGGTCTCTGGGTGCCCATTTGATGAGAAAAAGGAGTCTCAGACTTCCAGACAACTAATATCAATAAAAGCTGATTTATTTTTGACACAGTTTCTGTACAAAGCACAAAAATGCTCATGTAATAAACAGTAATGGTTTTCTTTGCTGTGCTTGTCAGTGTGGTGTCACAGCATTAGCCAAGCAAGCTCAAGCTTGAGCATTTTTCATTACTTAAGAAATAGAATAACAAGGTTGATTTGATCCTAGATGTCTATTACATAAAGAATAAACAAACAGCAGAATGAGGATTGATACAACAAAAGGGTGGATTTGATCCTAGATATCTATTACACAAGGAAAGAACAAACATGAGAATGTGAATTGAGCTTAACAGCAGATTTCATTACCTGGGCTGCCAGGCACACAGCAGCTTTGATAGATCTGTAGCCTTCTTGTCCTTTTTCACCATAAAAAGTCTTGGTTTCCTCATTAGTGTCTAGTGGAGACAGTAGAGCTGAGCTGATCTGATGATCCCTGGCAGGTAAAATGCTTCTCTCCCCATCACTTTTTCCTTACTCCCATCCTTGGTTTCTGCTCTGTTGGATCTTGTGCTCATCTCCAAAGCTTCCTGCACAGACTGATTCAACTTGTTGATTGAGTCCAGAACTTTTAGTTTTTTCTTTTTATTTTTTTTTCTGTGGAGATTTTCAGCTGATTTTGCAGCTTGGGTCATTCACCTGGAGGGGCACAGGAGTGCAGGGGATATACAGCTGGGATCAGGGAATGTCTTCAGGAGAGAGGAGCTGCTGCATTCATCTGGCTTCAGTCAGGTGCCCTGTACACTTCTGTTATCCCTGAATGTGCCCAGAATATTGGAAAGATTTTGGTTTTTTTCTGTTGTCTCTGGAAAATGTCATGCTCTTCATCTTTGTGGTGCTCACAGGAATATTTTAGGGTAACAACCAAGCAAGAAATGTTTTGCATGCAGCTTCTCAAAAAATCCAGCACTCCCTTCAAGCCATTAAGTCAGTTATAATTATGCTTTTGTGTTTGTTAATAAAATCTTTTAACTTTTAACAACTGTTGTTTGCTTGGTTTTTAGGTTGTCTGACATTTGTGTGAAAATAATTCTTCCCTTGAGAGGACTGCTGTAACCAAGAGCCATGACTGCTGCAGAGAACGTGTGTTACACCTTGATCAATGTTCCCATGGACTCAGAGCCACCTTCTGAAATCAGCCTAAAAAATGACCTAGGCAAGTACTGGCAGTGACTGAGGGATACTTCCATCTTACCTGAATTATTCTCTCATTGTGCCTTTCCTAGAGTACTGTTTACATTTTGTAAGATGAAACAAGTCAGTTTCATGTTTATTTTCTGTTGAGTTCTGGAAGGTGGATGTTCCTCTGTTTGCTGTGTTTTGAGAAACTTCAGGATATTCTTTTATGTGCTTTGGTGTACTCCACACTCTGTGCAAAATCTGAATTTTATTTTTTTTTTGAGAGTTTTAAGTAATACCTTCTTGGGCTAAGGCAGATTTGAGCAGATTTTTTTAGAATAAGCAACAAATTCTGTTGTCACTTGTTCAGTGCACTGTGGAATGTGCTGGCCAAAACAGCAGTGTTGGTGTCTGATATATGTGTGACACCACAGCACACTGTAGTATCCTGGTATAAATTCAAGCATTAAAACAGCCTTGGAATTTGAACTCTTTCAATTCCAATATATTGATCTTCTGATTATTCCATTAATTCCATCCTTATTTTTAAATATCTCTTGCTTCCTCTTTATCCTTACTAGAAGTAAAGGTATGGATTTCATTGATATGCTGTATTTCACTCCTTCAGAGGATTTTGTGTCTTCTGACACTGAGGATCAATATTCCTGTTAAAGTAGCTGTGACATGTCAGCCTTCCTCACTTCATTTCCTCCTCTAGAAAAAGGAGATGTCAAATTGAAGACAGAGGCCTTGAAGAAGGTAATCATCATGATTCTGAATGGTGAGAAGCTGCCTGGGCTCCTGATGACCATCATACGTTTTGTGCTGCCTCTCCAAGACCATACCATCAAAAAGCTGCTGCTTGTCTTTTGGGAGATCGTGCCAAAGACCACTCCAGATGGCAGGCTCCTGC